TCTCTCCCCCATCCCACCAGGGCTGGTGGAGTGAGCAAGTGGCTGGGTGGGGCCCAGTTGCCGGCTGAGGTTAAACCACGACACTGTCTCAGAGACAATGTTTGGCCTAAGCTGGTACCTTTTTAGCTTGTACAGGCAGATTTATTTTCATATAACTCAATTGTCCCGATACTCCTGACAAAAGGAGGGGGTTTTCCTGACTGCACTTATTTTCTAGTGTCTTTACACAGAGAAAGAGAAGACAATGGTTCAGCATCGATATGCAAAGTGCTTAGCAACTGGTAAGCAAGTCCAGCTAACTATATGAAATAACATAGCAGCAGCGACATGTGTCTGAATTAAGAGTAGCTTCTTTGATGGTGATACTGTTATCCCAGACTGCGGTAGCTGCGGCAGAATATGATCTTTTCAAAGGGTGTTCTCCAGTAAGGACTTTCCAATGCTTGCAATGGTGATGCTTAGGGTGAGCATATGGTCTCCAGTCGCTTTTACACACTAAGTATGTGTGACTGTTAAACCTTGAGTTAAGATCAAGTCAGAGAACCAATCTCCTCCATTAGAATGCATTCACTGAATTACAGCAGAGACATGCTGGTTCTGCTGGCCCGAGAAGAGATGGAGCTTGATTTTGCCAACACAATTAGGCTGCATTGGATAGCTACAGTGATTTTCCAGATACTGCATCTGAGTGGTCTTTTGATTTGTGGATGTAACATACACACAGATATGTAGGTGTAAATATTCCTTTTAAAATCATCAGCAAGGAGGACATGTAATTTCAGTGTCTAAGTAGAAAAAACTCGAAGAAAGGAGCAGGTTCACAGAAGTCTTCTGACTCAAAATCAGGGAAGTCTTACAATAAACTAGGTAAAGAAAGCACTAGAAGAAAACTGAAAGATTTATTACTTTGATTTGCTTAGATCTTTGCTGTATAGTCTGCAACTGTTGGCCCTGAATATTAAGAGTATATAGTTATCTTCAGCTTTTGGGGAAGAAAGGAGGAAAGGGAGATGGGAAGGGTTGCGAAATCAGTGAAGGCAGGAAGCTGCAGTCGCAACCCCAGACACATCAATCAGTGGAAGGTGGAGGGAGTTAGACCACATATCAAAATGCCTCCTTATTCAGTTACCTTTTCTCAAAATTACCACAAAAATAATGTGAGCACTTGTTATTAATTTGAGAGTTTTTTAAGGCTGAAACCTAGATGCATGAAGTTGCACAGAGAAAGTATTACAGTAAAGAACAAATCTCGCTGCACTCGAAGTTTTCTGCTCAAATATCTGTCTCCTGTCCCTCACTAAGGGTCATCTGTGGATGCAACACGTCCAGTGCAATAGGAGAAACTCTTACATCTTGGACTATGGGGCTTGGAGATATGTGCAATTATGGGACCAATAGAAAAGATAATGACTACCTGTAGATAAGTCCTGTAGGGTCTCTTCAAATCAAACAAATGCAGATTTCCAATGATAGGTAATGCTCTTGGTCCTGGGGGAAAATTCTTTCTTCGGTGGTTGTTCCAGAAACCTCCCATTTTCAAAACAGATAGAAAAGTGAGGATGAACACTAAACCAATGGAAGTGCAGCTGGTCCAGTCCATCTCTATTCAGCCAAATATTTGCTACAGAAGAGAAAAGAGAAAATGTGAACTCTGTATCTCTGTCCTCCTGCAAAAATTTCCCATGAGAGACGTTTGTACTAGCCTATAGACCTCTTTCCCAGTGAAGGGTATGTTTTTCTTGCGATTGGTGACTGCTTTAGTTGTCTTCCCCTTTGCTTGCTAATGAATCCTCAGTACAGTACAGACACAGGTAAATGTTTGCTAGCCAAGCACGTGTTGACTGGGTGAGCGTGTCCAAGCATGAAAGTCCAAGAACATGGAGAACCACAGGTCGTCAACCCGGGGTTTGGTATAAAAGTCATAAATTCTGCATGCTCTTCAGGTTACTGATTAATTATATTTTCATCATTAGTACAGGCACAGCCTTGATGATACCCTGAGAACTGAAATCAGAATGCCAATGCCCAAGTGATTAGTGAGCAGAGATTTTTTTTTTTTTTTTAAATGCTTAGGAATTGGTATAACTTTGCTTCCATTGAATTCACTGGTAATTTCAAATCACAGAATCACAGAATGGTTGAGGTTCGAAAGGACCTCTGGAAGTCATCTGGTCCAACCCCCCTGCTCAAGCAGGGCCACCGAGAGCCAGTTGCCCTAGACTATGTCCAGACAGTTTTTGAGTATCTCCAAGGATGGAGACTCCACAAACTCCCTGGGCAATCTGTGCCAGTGCTCGGTCATTCTCACAGCAAGAAAGTGTTTCCTGATCTTCAGAGGGAACCTTGTGTGTTTCAGTTTGTGCCCGTTGCCTCTGGTCCTGTCACTGGACACCACTGAAAAGAGCCTGGCTCTGTCTTCTTTGTACCCTCCCTCCAGGTGTTTATACATACTGATAAGATCCCCCTGAGCCTTTTCTCCTCTAGGCTAAACAGTCCCAGCTCTTTCAGTGTTTCCTCATATAAGAGATGCTCCAGTCCCTTCAGCATCTTGGTGGCCCTTTGCTGGACTTTCTCCAGTATGCCCATATCTCTTTTGTACTGGGGATCCCCGAACTGGACACAGCACTCCAGGTGTGGCCTCACCAGTGCTGAGTCGAGGGGAAGGATCACCTCCCTTGACCTGCTGGTAACACTCCTCCTAATGCAGTCCAGGATACCAGTAGCCGCCTTTGCGGCAATGGCACGTTATTGCTTCATGTTCAGCTTGGTGTCCACCAGGACCCCCAATTCTTTTTCTGTCAAACTGCTTTCCAGGTGGGTGGTCCCCAGCATGTACTGGGGGGTTGTTTGCCTGACGTTGTTTCTCCCCAGGTGCAGGACTTTGCACACTTCTCCTTGTTGAACTTCATGAGGTTCCTGTCAGTCCATTTCTCCAGCCTATTGAGGAGCATCTAGATGGTGGCACAACCTTCTGCTGTATCAGCCACCCCTCCCAGTTTGGTGTCATCAGCAAACTTGCTGAGAGTACACTCTGCCCCATCATCTAAATGATTAATGAAGACATTAAACAGGACTGGACCCAGTATTGACCCCTGGAGTACCCTGCTAGTTACTGGCCTCCAGCTGGACTTCACACCGCTGATCACTAGCTTCTGGGCCTGGCTTTTCAGCAAGTTTTTAACCCACTTCACTGTCTGCTCATCTAGCCCATACATCAACTTGTCTATGAGGATCTTATGGTAGATAGTGTCAAAAGCCTTACTGAAGTCTAAGAAGACTTCTTGTGACTAAGACAACTTGTTTTTGTGACTAAAAAGCTACTGCAGGGGTGTATGAGAAAGACGTTGGAGAGGCCTAAGAGGTGCCACAGGACTGGTTTGCTCAGGTCCTGCTGGGAGCACAGCACTGGTTGTCTGTTCCAGGCACGGATGCACCCCCAGAAGCCATTTCAGGTGTGAAAGAAGATCTTTACAGCTTTGAAGACAACATTGGCAACTGTTTGATTTGAAATGGAGAAGGACTTTTTATTTTTCTGTGTTTTTACCTTTATCATTAATATGCACATTATTCTGTAGTAAACTAAATTAATTTTAACTTCCAGGCAGCATATAACCACATGGCATTACCTGAGAGCCCTCTATGCATCTGCACTGCAGTCCTGCATCAGGTGAACATCTTATGTTTCCTTGTCTCAGGTTAAGCTGTTCAGTTATATTTCTGTGTGCAGGTGTTGTGTCTGCATTTAGGGCACTGGTGCAGGGTTAAATTGTGTAATGGACCATTGTCACTAGGCAGTTTGGATGTAGCTGTGCTGGAGGTGCGGAAGGTGAAAGCTTTTGGGTTTTTGTGTGTGTATGTATAGATCAGCGCAGTACCTTTTGAGGTCTGGCCCAGAGACTGGCCCCAGCCTTTTTCATCAAGGATGTGGTGGGTTGACCCTGGCTGGACACCAGGTGCCCACCAAAGCTGCTCTATCACTCCCCTCCTGAGATGGACAGGGGAGAGAAAATATAATGAAAGGCTAGTGGGTCGAGGTAAGGACAGGGAGATCACTCACCAATTACCGTCATGGGCAAAACAGACTCAACTTGGGGAAATTAGTTTAATTTATTACCAATCAAATCAGAGTAGGATCATGAGAAAATAAAAACTAAATCTTAAAACACCTTTCCCCCACCACTCCCTTCTTCCCGGCTTAACTTTACTCCTGAATTCTTGACCTCCTCCCCTCCCAGCGGCGCAGGGGTACAGGGAATGGGGGTTGCGGTCAGTTCATCACACGTTGTTTCTGCCGTTCCTTCCTCCTCAGCGGGAGGACTCCTCACACTCTTCCCCTGCTCCAGCAGGGTGCCTCCCGTGGGAGACAGTTCTCCACAAACTTCTCCAACATCAGTCCTTCCCATGGGCTGCAGTTCTTCATGAACTGCTCCAG